ACAGTAATGTTTTCTGGTGATAATTCTTACTGCTCTTTTCTGTAAAATAAAAATAGGATTTGTGATTGCAAGCTTTACCCCAGACTTCAACACAGTAAATCAAGTGTGGAACAATTATTGTAATACACAATATAAAATATTTGATGTATTTTGGAAAATACAATGTATTTTGGATGCTGCTGCTTCCTGCACCTGCCATTACCTGGTTTATTTAATTACTTACTCACTTTCAAGACAACATTTTTATTTTTATGTTTTAATTTGAGTTGAAAAGAATAAAATTCCTGAGGATCAAATGTTCTAGGGGGTTAAATAAATAATTTTCATTTAATATTCAGTTGTTATACATTATAGTTTTGGAGAATCATCATTATGTTTGACTGAGGGGTTATTAGTGGTGTGACAAAATGGCTCAGGGGGTACACAAGTCTTAAAAGGTTGGGAACCACTGTCATAAAGGACTGCAATAGATCCCAAATGATCTGCAAGCTAATATTCTATTATCCCATGGACCCCACTGCCCTTAATGTTCACATCTGATTTAGACAGTATTTGTTGCCCATTCATAACAGAATGGGAATGTAGTGAGAAAAATTAGTTTTATTGTGATTCTCAATAACATCACAATTATATTGGGTTTTGATTTTATTGGAGCCCTTGCTAAAACTAACAACAATGTGAAATATGCTGAAAAACCTATTCAAAGCTTCAATATTGCTTTCATTTAATGCAAAGAAATGAACTTAAGAGTGGTTAAGACCCTGGTCTATGACATGAATTACTTGTTCTGTTAGGCTTTTCATTGGAGTCATTTATTCTGATCCACTTCGCTTTCATCTTGTCTGGCTGCCTTTTTAAATGGTCCTCCAGTAAATATCCTTTAAACCCCCAAAGGGCTTTTAGTTTGATACTATTACTATAAGATATGAGTTTGTTGTGCAATTTGAGGAAAATGGAAAAAAAGGAGCAGATTGATACTAGGCTTTGCTGCAAGAAAGAGCACTGGAAATTTAACCCAGCCTCTAATAAACTTCAAAAAATATATATCTTCTGCAGGTGAGGCCTTTAGAAGTACCTGTAGCTGTTTGATACAAGACATCTGCCTCTCACTGTCTTTGAGACCAAAAACTCATTGAACCTGTTTTTATTTGGTTAGAATTTCTACAAATACCATTCGTTGTCTGTGTGCAGATAAATTTTCTGCATAAAGTCACTACTTTTTACTTGTTCCTTTCAATCTGTGCCTTATCTCATCAGTAAATAAACTGCTGATGTTAATTCTCCAGGGTTCGTGCAGTCTTAAAAAGTAAAAAAAAAAAGTCTAAAATTTGAAAATCTAAATTTAAGGCCTAAAAAAAATCTTAAAAATTCACAGATTTTCATCCAAGGTCTTAAATTTAATTTTGTCAAGTTTTTTAAATTCTTTTTTACTTTCAATCATTCCCGAGAAGCGTTGGCTGCGTAAATGAACAAGAGTAAAGTGCTGTGATCAGAGCTTCATGAAGTGCTACGTTTGCTACCGGCCTTTGTACACGTTAAACTACAAGTCCTGTGATAACTGCAGGCAAAATATGGCACAGTTTACTTCCATGTTTTCGACCTCTTTCCCGGTACAACCACCTGTGTACGGTGGCGTATTCACCCGCCCAAAAAAAACAAAGAMGKTCAGTCTTGTCCACTGCTTGTCATTTAAACACGGGAAAGTGTGTTTTCAATGAGACATGGCTTGATATCAATGATTTTTGACCTCTGTTTGATACGATCCACAGCAGTCGAGATGAAGGTCTCATAGATATGACTGTTTCATTAAAATAATTAATTTTTTTTGTATTAAAAATAAATATTCTTTAATGGCTAAATTGATAGCAATAAAGGTTTTTATGTTTAAATTTCTGGGACCATTTCAATGTTTTTATTAATGCGTCGTTTTGGTCTTAAATGTCATTCCGGATGGTCTTTAAAAGGTCTTAAATTTAACTCACTGAAACATGCATGAACCTGACAGTGTATTTGCTCTTCAGATTACATTAGACATGGTGATGGAAGCCCACCTAAACACCAGCCACTCTGAAGCTGATCCTTGCTCAGCCGCCATCCRTACGTCTCGAAACATTTACAGATCTTGGTTTATTTGCATTAGATAAAAGATTACCTTGTTAATCAGCAAAATGTCCCGTTGATTGAAAGGCTTGTATTTATATTTATATTGCTGAAAAAAGGGACTGAACCAAAGCCAGCTTCTTCAGCCTCCTGTCTGTTCTGGAGCACATTCCTCCACCCTGATGTCACCAGCTGTCTGAGAGGTTGTGTGTGTGTGTGTGTGTGTGTGTGTGTGTGTGTGT